GAGGAAGTGGGGTACACCAGGGGGACAGGGGTAATCTACACAGCCACCTCCTGTTGGCACACAGGTGAATGAGTGTGCCAGTGTGTGTAGGTGTGAGTGTGCAAACATACCTCAGGGCAAATGGATAGGTGATGTGCGCGTGCGAGGCGGGGTGGGTAAAAGCCACCAGCCGTGCAGCACTGTCTGCAGTGTCCCCCAGGGTCTGTGGGCTCCAGAGTGACCCCCAGTGCAGTGCTGAACTAGATGTCCCCTAATTCTGTCAGTGCTATCGGTAGTGCCCCCCCAGCACTGGCAGTGCCACCCCTCTGGAAGTTCTGTGGCATCTGGAGTGACCCCCACCCAGCACTGGCAGTGACCCTCCTCCCCTCTGCACTGACAGTGCAGTGCCACCTGGAGTGACCCCCAGCACTGGCAGTGTGGTACTGGGCCAAGCGCCCCCTGGTGCTGGCAGTGCAGTACTACCTCCGGTGTCCCCCCCAGCACTGGCAGTAAGTACAACGCTGTCCCATGCACCCAAATGCTCTCAGTGAAAATCGGGCCATTGGTATCACGCTAGGAGCTGCCGGGGACACCGGGCGATCTGTCCCTCGCTGAGGTGCCACGTGCCAGCCTGGCCACTGGCCCCACGTGGCAGAAACTCTTCACTGGCCAACATTTCAGCCAAAAGGTCCCCCCCTTCCCTTCCCCGCTTTGTGAGGATCAGTTTCTCCAGGCCCTGCCCCTAAAAGATCCTGCACTGGCCAGGCTATGGGGGTGGGCGGGGCCCAGGACACACTCAGTGCTTTACAAGCATTAGCTAACCCCTATGGGAGACAGTATTAGCCCCATTTCACAGATGGAGAAACTGAGGCACAGATAAATGTAAGCAACTTGCCCAGAATCGGGCGGAGGCAGAGCTGGGAATTCAACCCAGCAGCCTGGACTCCCAGCCCCCCACACCTGAACCCCATGGCCCAAATCGCCTCTGAACGGTGAAGCCTTTCTTTGCTGGAGCTGGGGTAGATTCTTGCCCAGCGCTGGGTCTGGGAGATCAGAAAACCTCTAAGGAGGGCGGGATCTCGTGGGCACTGGCCTGTTACCTCTGCTTCCTGAGAAGGCAGCAGGGTGCACAGGCTGGGTCATCAACTCCCCCAGCCCTAAAATATCACCCTGGCTATAGAGGTCTCTCTCTAATGACTGACCCACCCCTTTCTCTTACTGATACAAACCCCAGGAGATCCAGCTTGGGCACCACATGCCCCCCTGGGCAGGCGGGTGCCAGGACAGATGTGAGGCAGTTTGCTCTTCCCAGAGGCGAACTGCCCCCCGGGGGGGGCTTGGCAGGGGGCAGAAACGCAGGCGCCACCCCCGTCCTGGGCAAGACC